AAATACATACCATAAGAAATACCAATAATTTTGATAAGAATTTCAATACAAACAATTCTGATAAACACCCTAAGCCACTTCAAATTACTTCAGATCAAAATGAAATACATATACATCAAGCAATATTGACTACACCATCTCCACCTTCACAAACCATACTAGCAAGTCACACTATTTACAAAGATTCACAAATTTCAACTTTTGAAATTGGTTTTTATCATCTACTTGTGTTTTTTGAAATGCATCACATTTTAAAGATGAAAACATTGCTATGTGTTGTCAACATGGTCAAGTGATATTGCCATCTATATTACCTTTGCCAAATACTTTACTTATGCTTTACAAACAAAACAAAACCTTTAATTTCAGAACTAATATTAGACACTATAATAGTGCCCTTGCATTTGCATCAATGGTTGCTAACCAACACTTGATGTTAATTATGATCCTATGATATTTCCTTTTAGTGATAAAGGATGGCATGCAAATATTTTGAATACATGATGACATTAAACTACATTACTTCTATATTATGCATATCGCTTATCTGAAAGAAATATACTCGAACAAATCTTACATATTGGCAAGCTTACTCAACAATACATTGTTGACGCATAGTCAAGTTGAGAATAATAACTTATACTACTATCGTACCCACTAAAAATAATTACAAGTAGAAATATATATATTAGTTATATGAATTATGTTGTAAATCGTGTTTCAAATGAAAATATGAACCTCAGTAAAATTGTTATATTACCTTCCAGTTTTTGTGGTGAATGTAACAAAATTATCAAGATGCAATAGCAATTGTTGCTCATTACTCAAAAATGGATATTTTCATTACTTTCACTTGCAACCCTAAATGGGAAGAAATTATAGAAAACTTACATCCAAATAAAGGTCATGAAGACTGCCTTGATTTAGTTTCTAGAGTTTTCTATATTAAACTTAAAAACTTTTAAAAGATATAACAAAAAGACATGTATTTGGAAAATGTAAAGCATATATATATGTAATTGAGTTCCAAAAAATAGGTCTCCCACATTGTCATTTTCTAGGAATTCTAGCCCATGAAAATAAAATTAAAGACTGTGATGCAATTAATTAATATATCAGAACTCTTTGAAATAGTTATATTGTATATGATACATAGGCCATGTGAACTTTTTTATCCTAATATTCCTTGCATGGAAAATGGTTTTTGCTTAAAAGGTTTTCCAAAAAAATTTAATTATGAGATAACATTTTCTGTTAATGGATATCCAAGTTATTATAGACTAAACAATGGATGTGTAGTTTTTAAAAATGGTTATCTTATGGATAACTATTGGGTTGTACTTTACCTTTGTAAAAAATATAAAGCTTATATAAATATTAAAATATGTGCAATTATAAAAATTATTAAATATTTATTTCAATATGTTTACAAAAGGATATGACTATGCCACTATTAAAATCCATTCAGCAACTCAACAACATGATAATAGTTTAAACTGTTTCTACTCTAAAAGTTATATAAAAACTTTTCAATTTAAAATGCATGGCTATTCAACACTTATAATCTGTCTTCCTGTTCATCTAGAAAATTTTCAAAATGTTTATTTCATCAACGGTAATGAGCAAATTAAACTTCAAAGAGTTACTCAAAATGGTACTATGTTAACAAAATGGTTTGAATTAAATAAATATGATCCAAATGGAAGATAGTATACATATCTTGAAATTCCTTTACATTATACATATAATAAACACACTCATCAGTGGTAAATTAGACATCAACAAAATATTATCTCATGAATATATTCTATTTCCTTATTTAATATTGAACTTTATCATTTATGTCTTATATTGCTTTACAAAAAAGAAGCTACTTCTTTTAAAAAATTAAAAATAATTCATAATATTTATTTTAAAACATTTCAACTGACTACATCTACTATATAACTTATAGCAGAAAATACAAAATGGGAAAAATGTTTAGAAGATGTTTGCTCTTTCAAAATGCCACCACACTTAAGATAATTATTTGTTTTCTATGTGTCTTTTGTAGTCCAAAATGTCTTTATTCCTTATGGGAAAAATTCAAAAACTCTTTTTCTGAAAATTTTGTGCTAACAAATCCATTACTTTGTTATGAGTGTGCTTTATATGAAATAAATAGGAAATTCAATCTATATGGAAAATCCAATCAAGATTATGAATTGCCTTTATTAATTTGATACAGTTCATTCATTCTATAGAAAAAAATTTACTTCAATTTAATGATGAACAAGAAATTATATATAATGATATCCTCAACACAATTAACAACCCAACCAAGTAAAATTGATATATTTTCATTGATGGTTCTAGTGGTACTAGTAAAACTTTTCTCCTTAACACTCTTATATATACATTTTAACTTCTAAACAAAAATATAATTTGTATGGCTTGGACACGTATTGCAAGCATTTTATTGCATAATAGTCAAACATCACAAATGACTTTTAAACTTTATGTTCCAATAAATGAAACTTCTACTTTTGCTATTATATATAATAGCGAAGCAGGCCAAAAAATTAAAAATGCAGACGTATTAATGTGGGATGAAATTAATATAGTTCACACACATGCATTTTCTACCATTAATTTAGCATTACAAAATATTAAAAAAATGAATTACCTTTTGGAGGAATTATTATTATTACAAGTGGTGACTTTAGACAAACACTACTATTCCCCATAGTTATCAAACACAAATTTTTTCAAATTCAGTAAAAATGAATAGGTTTTGGAAATTTTTTAGAATACTTCTACTAAAAAGGAATATGAGACTAATTATAAACAAATCTTTATATGCTAATTGGCTTCTTCAAATTGGAATTGGTAATAATTACATAAAGTTATCTAATTTGCCTTCAAAATCTATTATATTACTTTACACACAAGTAATAATATCCTCTGTTGTTAATTTTTTTTTTCCATCTCTACAGAATATTTCAGACTCCTATGTTACATCTAATAGAGTCATACTTACCCCACTTAATGATGATACTTTTCCCATTAATAATGTATATTCTCTTGCTTACTTGGTGACATACATATTTATGAAGGTGTTGACTTTGTTGATACTGAATACCCAAAGATTTTACAATTGAATTCCTGAATTCCATTACTCCTAGTCTTCCGCCACATAAACTCTTACTTAAAGAAGGTATTATCCTTATTCTATTAAGGAATATATGTCCATCAACTGGACTATATGATGCTATATGCCTCATACTTAAACATGCCTTACCAACAGTTCTAGACTGTGAAATTATATTAGGCCAATTTAAAAGTACATGAGCTTTCATCCCTCGAATCACGCTCACACCTTCAAACACAAAAATTCCATTTAAAATATCCAGAAGACAATTTCCAATGCATTTAGGGTATTGCTTTACAATCTCTAAATGTCAAGGCCAAACATTTGACTGAGTCGGAATACACTTGCCACATCCAATTTTCACCTATGGCCAACTTTATGTAGCTTTATCAAGATGCACATCTCCAACAAGACTAGGCATTAAAGTACAAAACACATCACTCCAAAGACAATTATTCCTTTTAAGTCCTTCTACTTTTACCATCAACACAGTATATAAGGAGGTTTTATATTAAATCCTCCATGCATTGTTTGTAGCACTAAAACAAATTCTTTATATAAGTCTAATGAATAAATAAAAAAGCCTTGAAACACTTTTATTATAACTACAACATTCAAAACAATATTTGCTAATAGGACAGCATATGCTTGGCAAGTGCTAGTAGATGGATAATTATTTGTCAAGGAACAGTTCATATTACTTAAATTTGAAAAATCAGAATAAATATTATTTATAGAAAAATATAGATGTATAGGGATGAGAACAGCATTGCATAAATAATATATGCCTAGTGTTGTGATACAACTGTATTAATAATTTTATAGTGAACTCTAAGAACATAACTGGTTGACATTAGTGAGTTTTGTGTGAGAGATAAAACCTAATTGATCATGGGGCAAATACCTTATTAGTACAAAATCTAGTAAGAATCTTTACCAGTTTAACCAATCAATGTATCTTTCAAGTAGCACAAGATCATTCTAGAGCTGTTCAGTTGGTGTGGCAATGAGCTTTTAGGATGAGCAAGTCCTAAACTTTTTCTCTACAAGTTGTTTCAAAGTCTACCGCCAAAAAATCCATATCAACTAAAATGCCTTTAGCCAAGATGAGAATGCTATGACAAATGCCCATTGGTAAGATCAAGGTGCTCCCAAACATTTGCAGCCATCTTTGATAAGATGATACTTGGCCTAGACCCACTATTGGAATTTACAAGGGTAATCAGGATGGTGAAAGCTCATGGATCTAAGAGTGTATATGCTTTCATGATTTGGACTGGTGTGTTTAGAAAGGTGTTTAGAGGGGGTGTCAGGCCTAGAAATGGCTAAATGCTCCAATTGCCATGCAAAACTAGAACACTTTGTCAAAAGCTGGTAGAGAATGATGGTAACTAGAGCTATCACTAGTTGCTATAAAACAAACACTAGCATAGCTAAAGATGGTTGAACACCATAGGATGAAATGCTAGCAAAATGTGGTGTATGTGAATGCTAGAGGAGAAGACGTGGTGGAGGATTTGCTTTGCACTGTAAATGCCAAAGGGAATAGTAACCTTTGTTTGACTACAAGTTGAGGCATTAGTAGGTTCTTCTCCTCCAAAATCTTGCTTAGCAACAAAGATTATGCTGATCCTTAATGCTTTTCCTTTTACTTAACAATGAATGTGTGGAGCTTTATTTGTTGCTGGTACCTGTCTTGTTTAGGGATGGTGGTACTGTCAGCAAATGGCCATTCCTGGACATACTATGTATGTGGAGGATGGAGCTTGGGATGCAACTTATGTCATGTGTGATGACATCACAATGAGAGCAATGTTGACAAGGACAAAGGCTCCTATACTCTATCACCTACAAACAACTTGCCTCCAACTCCTCCATAAGATTGTTCTGCATTTGTTGTTATCACTAGATGATCTCCTTATAACTAGCAAGTTTTAATAGTGCTTTTTAGATCATTGGTTGTTGCCAGTGGATATTGTTGGAAGAGCAAAAACATGGGCTACTGAGTAAGAACCACTCTCCAGTGATGGGCAAAAAACTTCTTCCACTCTTTCAGCCCTTGAGCCCTTTCAAGCACAAAGCATCAATTAAATCCACAAAGTAAATGCATTATAACTTTTGCAATACCTCACCATAGAACACACTTGAGTTTTTATAGAACTTGCTCGAAGATGTGGAAGGACTTGACAAACACCCCCACGTGGGAAGCACTCGATGTGGCCGATAATCAGGCATGCAAAGGTTCTTTTTCTTCAATAGAGGCAGCGAAGATTCACGAGGCAATCCAGACCTTTGATCTTCAGTATTGCTGCAAAGAAATCCTCTCAGAATTAAATAGAAATAGATACCAATCCAGTGTACTCTTCGAGGCCTTTAATCTCGACTATACCCTGGAAGCAAAGACGCAAACTAAACAGTGGAAATTGCCCCTACAAGAACCTCGTTAAGCTCAGGCTGGCATACCTAGCTTCCACAAACACAAAGAGAAAATTCCACTGAGAAATGTATTGCTCCTTGATCGGATCGAAGAACTTACAGCCGCTTCTCTCGACACAGCTTCTTCAACCACGCCCCTAAAATGTGATATTTGGCTTTCTTTCTCCGCCACGTCAAAATTATCGTGCCGTTCTCCGAGGAAATCAAGGGATTGGAGGCCCAGTCGTCGCGATCGCGATCTCCGGCTTCAATGCGTGGAGTGCTGCTGCGATGGCATCCAGTCCCAAGGTGAATCGAATCCGAGTCATTGAATTTCCGAAAAATCTCGAAAAGGACCAAAGTAGCAAGGTCGAAGCTTAGGATATTCTCGATTAAGTGGAGCAATGTACACCAAGACCTCATCAGCAATAGAAAAATCCAAGTGCTGTCGTCCCCGTTCTCATCTCTTGTGTTGATGTTAACTTGTCCTACGTTTTTAAAACTTATTCTGGCGGGAGTGTTTGCGCTACTCATCCAACGGTGGCAAATCCGGCCACGCGGTGATTCCACAGCCACAGTCACTGGCTTCGAATCTACAAGCGTCGAAATGGGCGGCCACTAACTAGTTGGAAGGCCGTGGTTCTTTACGGCAGGAAAGAAAAAATTTGGGAGGGATGGGAACCGAGAGGCTGCGCAAGGAGAGCCAAGATAAGTTCCTGGGCAGCTTGCCCCTGGGCGTCCGGATCGTCCAGCCAAGAACGCCGGGCATAGGAGCCAGGATTGCTGCCAAGCTTTGCGATGGGATCGAGGCTTTGCTCGTCCAGTTGTTTAGCGGCGCTTCCAGCAAATCCAACCTGTTTCTTCAAGAGAACTTCGCGCCGGTTGGAGAGTCTGGGCCATTTGCGGACTTGCCAGTAACTGGCGCTCTCCCGGTAAGCTTTTTTAATGGATTTGTCTTCGCATTGTCTTGATTTTTTCGTTCTTTTCTTTACAGGAATGCTTGAATGGAGAATTTGTGCGCACTGGACCAAATCCGAGATTCGAGCCTACTGCAGGCTACCACTGGTATGAATGTTTTTTTTTTCGTTTGTTCTTCTCCATTTTATCCCCATCTTACTTGTAGGTTCGACGGAGATGGGTATTTAAGTTTTTCCTCTTAGTTCTATCATGCGTTGGCTTACAAGTTTCTCTGTTCTTTGTTTCAACCAGAATGCTGCATGGTCTGCGAATCAAGGACGGGAAAGCAAACTATGTCTCTCGCTACGTGAAGACCTCCAAGTTAAAACAAGAGGAATTCTATGGAACTCCAACTTTCCTGAAGGTGTGTATGGTTTTTCTTCCTTGGTTCTTGGTTTTGTTGAAGCTGAAATCCCTTTGAAGGTGGGAGATTTGAAAGGAATACTTGGGATTTTCTTAGCGAATGTTTTTCGGCTGCGAGTTGCTCTCGGTGTCGTGGACGCAGAATATGGCATGGGAACTGGTAAAACGAAGACTTTTTTTTTTTCTTATTTCATTTAATCGTATTCTCCGTTTCTTTGCAGCCAATACAGCCATGGTGTATCACAACAAGAAACTTTTAGCACTATTAGAGGCTGACAAACCATGTAAGCTCGTTTCCTCTTTGTTTTTATCTTTGTAGGAAACATTATTTTTGTTTTTGTCAGATGCTATTCGAATGCTCGAAGATGGGAACCTTGAGACAATTGGCGTGCTTGACTATGACAAAAGATTGTCTCACGCTGTTACTGCTCATCCCAAAGTTGACCCTGTGACAGGTTAGTTCTTTCATTCCAACTTACAAGCTAAAGTCAAGCTTTTCTTCTTCTTTTTTTCACTTTTCTTCAGGCGAGATGTTTTTCTTCTGTTACCAACAGCAAACACCATACGTAATCTATCGCGTCATTTCGAAAGATGGAACTTTGCATGATCCGGTAAGCATCAACATCCCCGACCCCGTGATGATGCACGACTTCGCAATCACGGAGAACTACGCAATTTTCATGGATCTTCCAATGACTTTTAAACCAAAGGTGGGACAATCACACACACAAACAGTCTCTCATCTTTCGTATTTATTTATATATTTATTCTGGTTTACAGAACATGGGTGAGGGAAAAATGATAATCTCGTTTGACAGCACGAAGAGGTCCCGCTTTGGAGTGCTGCCTCGTTATGCTCTCAGCGACAGCCAGATGCGCTGGTTTCATCTTCCAAGTTGTTATATTTTCCACACAGGTTAGAATTCTCACAGTTTTCTCCAAATGTGCTAACGTTGGACCTGTTGATTCTAAGCAGCAAATGCGTGGGAAGACGGGGACGAGGTAGTTCTCGTTGCTTGCCGCATGCCAAAGTTCGACATGGAGCTCATGAAAGACACTGACGATCATGTTCTCGAGCTGTAAGTTCTTTTCTTTTTCAAGTCTCTCTTTTCCTCACAAAATCCTTGGACACAGCTACGAATTTCGGTTCAACATGAAGAGCGGTGCTGCTTTGCAGCGTCCACTCTCAAAGGGGCCAGCGGTGGAGTTTCCTCGCATCAACGAAAACTACATAGGAAGGTTATAGGCTCTCTTGAGAGTTTGCATCCATAAATCTCGTACTTTCACAGGAAGCAACGTTACGTGTATGCTGCCGTTTTCCACGATCAAGTGAGGATCAAAGGAGTGGCGAAGTTTGATCTCCACAAGGATCCCGAGCTCTCCAAGGATGGTGGTAATCCCGTTGGGAGCAATGTGGTCGGGGAGTTCATGTATGGAGGTCGCCGGTTTGGCTCCGAGGCGGTGTTTGTTCCAAAGAGCTCGGACAAGGACGCGGATGAAGACGATGGCTACCTCATCTCTTTTGTTTACGACGAAGGGGCGGGGTAAGATGAGAGTTCATCTTCGTGTGCTCAAGCTTTTTCATGTTTTTTTTTGTCTTCCAGAAAATCGGAGGCAGTCGTGATTGATGCCAAGACAATGGCAGCCGATCCAGTTGCTGTGGTCTCGATCCCTGTAAGGATTCCTTATGGTTTCCACTCGATTTTTGTGAATGAGGTGAGATTGAGTTTCCTCATTTGTTTTCTCGTCCTAATTCCTTTTTTATTTCCCGAGTTTAGGATCAGCTAGGGAACCAAGCATGAATATTGTTGAGAAACTTACAATTGATCACGAAAAAAAAAACGTATACTTGGCAAACGCGATGGTGGATTCTGAATTATTATTATATAAATTGTAAACAACTTATGTTTTGTAGAGAGATCGAAAAGACATTGGTTTGGTTTGGGTTCCAAACCTGTCCCTGGAATATGAAAGACACTCTTGGGAAAAACACTAACAAGATTACCAAGAACTAAGAGGAAGAAATCCGGGCCCCTTTTGCAAAGTAAAACTTCACAACGCTTCTAAAATTTAAAAGATGACACACACTTCACAGAGGACGAAAGTTTTCTTCCACCATTGGCTAGAAAAGATTGTTAAGTAGAGTCGTCTATATTAGTTGCTATTTCCCAGAGACTCTTGTAACCTTTGGTTCCCCAAAGCATAGGCCTTGCGACGTTCTTGTCTTGGGCCACTCGCTCCAAAACGCGCTCCTGGAGCTCCTTCTTAAACTTCCTCTCCTTGTCAGCGCACTCGAGCCGCTCTATAATCCCTTCCTCGGACAAGTTCTTCTCGCGCGCAGCAAGCTCCGCGGCTAGCTCCTCCTCCATCGCTACAAGCTCGGCGGCTCTCTTCTCCTCCCTCGCTGCTAGCTCGGCTCTCCGCTGCTCTTGGATCTCTTGTCTCCTCTTCGCTTCCTCTCTCGCAGCAATCTCCGCTCGGCACTGCTCTTCTCTTGCGGCTGCCTCGGCTCGCTCCTCTTGAGCTCTTTCTGCCGCTTCTCTTTGCTTTCGCTCGTTCTCGGCCAGCTCGGCCGTCGCTTCCTCGATCATGGCTTCAAATGCTGCTCTAGAGATGGCTAAAGAACCATCCATCCTTCCAAAACGGTGGCAGTACCTTGACGATGGATCTCTCTCTGATGGGCTTCTTCCTTGCGTATAGTTTCCCGCATTGATGTCTCCTCCTGATCAGCACAAAATGGTTTTTCGTTCGTAGATTTTGATCAGCACCATGGATCTTACCTCGTTTCCACCGTCTGTCCATGCTCTTGCCAGGCGACGCTCGTTCTCAGAGACAGGACTTTCATCCAGGTACGTAAGCTGCGAACTTAAAATCGAAATCTCGCTCTCTGGTGAAGGAAAAGTATACCGTGGGCATTTGGACGAGACAAAACTTCCGGTAATGTTGTATCGTTGATACAATCGGATTTCCAGACATTTTCAAGAGGGTGAGAGAAAGCGATTGAATGATCTGAAACCGAGTGATTAGAAAAGACAAGCTTGTATTTTCTTTCACCTGGAGAGACTCTTCGTTGTCAAGTTTCTTCCTGGAGATGTTGAGTGACTGCAAGCTCTTGCATTTCTAGCGAAAGAAAGGACGAGCGAGATTATGTTGTCCAGTGGTTTTGTGGTCTTTACTGTGAGATGTGCGACGTTCTCCTCCTGGCAAAGCATGTTCCAGAAAGATTAAGTTGACGCAAGCACTGGCAGCAAGAGAGTCCTTTCAAGCACTTGATCTGCAAAGCAGTGATTAAACTCACAAAGCAAACGAAGAAAAAGAATCCTTGTGTGCCTGATTATCTGCCAGATCGAGTGCTTCCAAGCGGGGGAGTTTATCAAGTCCTTCCACATCTTCGAGCAAGTTCTACAAAAGAAAAACATTCTCTAGCGTTCTATCGTGAGGTGGTTTCTTACTAGAACTGCGAAAACTATAACGCTCTACCTGGTTTAAATAGAGGCAGCGAAGATTCATGAGGCAATCTAGACCTTTGATCTTCAGTATTGCTGCAAAGAAATCCTCTCAGAATAAAAGAGAAGAAGAAAACTAGATACCGTTCGACTCGAGGTGGAGAGTTTTTAATCCAGTGTACTCTTCGAGGCCTTTAATCTCGACTATGCCCTGGAACAAAGACGCGAAAGCTCTATAAGCAGTGGAAAATGCCCTACATTACCCTGTGATGGAGATGAAGAACCTCGTTAAGCTCTGGAAGACTCGCATACCTAGACACAAAGAGGAAATCCATGAGAAGAATCCTTGCGATCGAAGATCTTACAGCCGCTTCTCCCGACACAGCTTCTTCAGGCCCGCCGGGCTCATATCAAAGCCCATTTCTTGCTTTTCCCCCCTTTTAGCCCAGGAACCCTACAATGTGATATTTGGGGAATATTCTTTCTCCGCCACGTCAAAATTATACGAGTCCAAGTCCTTTCCAGGCACAGCCGAGAGCATCGATGCAAAAGGTTGGGAGACAGAGCTGAGAAGGAATGCCTTAGCTTGATCAATGGTGATTGCTGCTTCCAAGTCCTTCATCTCGGTGATTATCGCTTTAAACTTTCCAATGTAAGTGGCCATGGTGTCATCAGGTTGCATTCTCATCGTAGCATCACCTTAGCATTGGCAGCTTTTGCAGCGAAGATTTGTGTAAGGGATGTCCAGTTCTGGTGGGCTGTTTTGGTAAGATCAAGGAGATGAACGAATTCATCCCCAAGACCTAACCCGTCCCAGTCGAGCCGTTGGGTTGCATTAGGCCAGCAATCCTTGGCCAAAAAAGGATAAGCTGTATTTTTGTTTTCCAAGTGGCGAAATTCTGTCCCGTGAACTTTTGGAGAAGTTTCTCCCAGCCTCCAGAATCCCAAGAATTTCCTGCTGCGTTAGCAGAAGACATTCTCTCTATTAATCTAAGAATAGATTAAACAGAGAATTTAGAAAGGACGACGTGGAGAAGGAATCGTGAAAAACTCGGCCGCAACAGGCACACCTTCCGGCAGGCTGGGCCACCAGCACTGCCAAAGCCCTCGCGCGCTCCCGAGCCAAGGGTTCCTGGTCCCTTTGATTCTTCCTCTGCCACTGTCCTCTTGCCATTAGATCGTTCGCTACCATGTATTATTATGAAACGGTGTTGTCCATCTTCCTCCAAGCTCTAACAAGACCACGTCAGCACACAGCCACGTGAGCGATCCAGACGGATCGTCACGATAAACCCATACATTTAACCATGTATCAACCCGCTTCCAGTGACATTAGGTACCCAGCTTGTGCTTGGCTTGGCTGTGGATTCCTGTTGGCGTTGTCCAAGGAGAACCGACGATCTTATGAATCGAGCTAAAGCGAAGATTCACGAGGCAATCCAGACCTTTGATCTTCAGTATTGCTGCAAAGAAATCCTCTCAGAATAAAAGAGAAATAGATGCCAATCCAGTGTACTCTTCGAGGCCTATACCCTGGAAGCAAAGACGCAAACTAAACAGTTGGCCCTACAAGAACCTCGTTAAGCTTCCACAAACACAAAGAGGAAATTCCACTGAGAAATGTATTGCTCCTTGATTGGATCGAAGAACTTACAACCGCTTCTCTTGACACAGCTTCTTCAACCACGCCCCTAAAATGTGATATTTGGCTTTCTTTCTCCGCCACGTCAAAATTATCGCGCCGTCCTCCAAGGAAATCAAGGGATTGGAGGCCCAGTCGTCGCGATCGCGATCTCCGGCTTCAATGCGGGGAGTGCTGCTGCGGTGGCGTCCAGTCCCAAGGTGAATAGAATCCGAGTCATTGAATTTCCGAAAAGTCTCGGAAGGAGTGATGTCGAAGCTTAAGATATTTTCGATTAAGTGGCGCTATACCTCATCACCAATAGAAAAATCCAAATGTTGTAGTCCCCACTCCTCTCTTGTTGTTTATACGTTTCTAAAATTTATTTTGGCATGCACTACTCATCCAACGGTGGCAAATTGTTCTTCAGGATGACTGGTTGAGATCAACTTTGATAAGAAGCTTTTTGTGCTTCTTTGTAGTTGGTTTACAATCCGAATCTACAAGCTTCCAAATGAACGGCCACACGCTAACTCTAAAAAGAGAACATTTGGGAGAGATGGGAACCGAGAGACTGCGCAAGGAGAGCCAAGATAAGTTCCTGGGCAGCTTGCCCCTGGGCGTCCGGATCGTCCAGCCAAGAACGCCGGGCATAGGAGCCAGGATTGCTGCCAAGCTTTGCGATGGGATCGAGGCTTTGCTCGTCCAGTTGTTTAGCAGCGCTTCCAGCAAATCCAACCTGTTTCTTCAAGATAACTTCGCGCCAGTTGGAGAGTCTGGGCCATTTGTGGACTTGCCAGTAACTGGCACTCTCCCGGTAAGCTTTTTTAATAGATTTGTCTTCGCATTGTCTTGATTTTTTCGTTCTTTTCTTTACAGGAATGCTTGAATGGAGAATTCGTGCGCACTGGACCAAATCCGAGATTCGAGCCTACTGCAGGCTACCACTGGTATGAAAGTGGTAGTTTTTTTCGTTTTTTCTTCTCCATTTTATCCCCATCTTACTTGTAGGTTCGACGGAGATGGGTATTTAAGTTTTCCTCTTAGTTCTATCATGCGTTGGCTTACAAGTTTCTTTGTTCTTTGTTTCAACCAGAATGCTGCATGGTCTGCGAATCAAGGACGGGAAAGCAAACTATGTCTCTCGCTACGTGAAGACCTCCAAGTTAAAGCAAGAGGAATTCTATGGAACTCCAACTTTCCTGAAGGTGTGTATGGTTTTTCTTCCTTGGTTCTTGGTTTTCTTGAAGCTGAAATGCCTTTGAAGCTGGGAGACTTGAAAGGAATACTTGGGATTTTCTTAGCGAATGTTTTTCGGCTGCGAGTTGCTCTCGGTGTTGTGGACGCAGAGTATGGCATGGGAACTGGTAAAACGAAGACTTCTTTTTTTATTTTTCATTTAATCGTGTTCTCCGTCTCTTTGCAGCCAACACAGCCATGGTGTATCACAACAAGAAACTTTTAGCACTATTAGAGGCTGACAAACCATGTAAGCTCGTTTCCTCTTTGTTTTTATCTTTGTAGGAAACATTATTTTTGTTTTTGTCAGATGCTATTCGAATGCTCGACGATGGGAACCTTGAGACAATTGGCGTGCTTGACTATGACAAAAGATTGTCTCACGCTGTTACTGCTCATCCCAAAGTTGACCCTGTGACAGGTTAGTTCTTTCATTCAAACTTACGAGCTAAAGTCAAGTTTTTCTTCTTCTTTTTTTACTTTTCTTCAGGCGAGATGTTTTTCTTCTGTTACCAACAGCAAACACCATACGTAATCTATCGCGTCATTTCAAAAGATGGAACTTTGCATGATCCGGTAAGCATCAACATCCCCGACCCCGTGATGATGCACGACTTTGCAATCACGGAGAACTACGCAGTTTTCATGGATCTTCCAGTGCCTTTTAAACCAAAGGTGGGACAATCACACACACAAACAGTCTCTCATCTTTCGTATTTATTTATATATTTATTCTGGTTTAAAGAACATGGGTGAGGGAAAAATGATAATCTCGTTTGACAGCACGAAGAAGTCCCGCTTTGGAGTGCTGCCTCGTTATGCTCTCAGCGACAGCCAGATGCGCTGGTTTCATCTTCCATCTTGTTATATTTTCCACACAGGTTAGAATTCTCACAGTTTCTCCAAGAACGTTGGACCTGTTGATTCTAAGCAGCAAATGCGTGGGAAGACGGGGACGAGGTAGTTCTCGTTGCTTGCCGCATGCCAAAGTTCGACATGGAGCTCATGAAAGACTATGTCGATCATGTTCTCGAGCTGTAAGTTCTTTTCTTTTTCAAGTCTCTCTTTTCCTCACAAAATCCTTGGACACAGCTACGAATTTCGGTTCAACATGAAGAGCGGTGCTGCTTTGCAGCGTCCACTCTCAAAGGGGCCAGCGGTGGAGTTTCCTCGCATCAACGAAAACTACATAGGAAGGTTATAGGCTCTCTTGAGAGTTTGCATCCATAAATCTCGTACTTTCACAGGAAGCAACGTTACGTGTATGCTGCCGTTTTCCACGATCAAGTGAGGATCAAAGGAGTGGCGAAGTTTGATCTCCACAAGGATCCCGAGCTCTCCAAGGATGGTGGTAATCCCGTTGGGAGCAATGTGGTCGGGGAGTTCATGTATGGAAGTCGCCGGTTTGGCTCCGAGGTGGTGTTTGTTCCAAAGAGCTCCGACAAGGACGCGGATGAAGACGATGGCTACCTCATCTCTTTTGTTTACGACGAACGGGCGGGGTAAGTTGAGAGTTCATCTTCGTGTGCTCAAGCTTTTTCATGTTTTTTTTTTCTTTTTTTTTTCCAGCAAATCGGAGGCCGTCGTGATTGATGCGAAGACAATGGCAGCCGATCCAGTTGCTGTGGTCTCGATCCCTGTCAGGATTCCTTATGGTTTCCACTTGATATTTGTCAATGAGGTGAGATTGAGTTTCCTCATTGGTTTATTCCTTTTCTATTTCCCGAGTTTAGGACCAGCTAGAGAACCAAGCATGATAATTGATCACGAAAAAATACGTGTAGATTCTGGACGATGTGTTCAAGAATTATTATATATGTTGTAAATAACTTGCATGTAAAACACCTTTACATGATTATCACTCAAATCAGGATCTTGTACATGAAGGACGCTTTTCCCAAGATTTTGCAAGGAAAACACTAACAAGATTACCAAGAACTAAGAGTCTTGATGAAGAAAAACACGAAGAGAAACTTCACGAGCACGATCCAAAATTTTCAAGATGGCACACACTTCCCTAAAGAACCTTTAGGGTAAAGTTTCCTTTAACCATTGATTAAGATTGTTCTATATTAGTTGCTATTTCCCAGAGACTCTTGTAAGCTTTGGTTCCCCAGAGCATAGGCCTTGCGACGTTCTTGTCTTGGGCCATTCGCTCCAAGACGCGCTCCTGGAGCTCCTCCTTAAACTTCCTCTCCTTGTCAGCGCACTCGAGCCGCTCTAGAATCCATTCCTCGGACAAGTTCTTCTCGCGCGCAGCAAGCTCCGCGGCTAGCTCCTCCTCCATTGCTACAAGCTCGGCAGCTCGCTTCTCCTCCATCGCTGCTAGCTCGGCTCTCCGCTGCTCTTGGATCTCTTGTCCCCTCTTTGCTTCCTCTCTCGCAGCAATCTCGGCTCGGAACTGCTCTTCTCTTGCGGCTGCCTCGGCTCGCTCCTCTTGAGTTCTTTCTGCCGCTTCTCTTTGCTTTCGCTCGTTCTCGGCCAGCTCGGCCGTCGCTTCCTCGATCATGGCTTCGAATGCTGCTCTAGAGATGGCTAAAGAACCATCCATCCTTCCAAAACGGTGGCAGTACCTTGACGATGGATCTCTCTCTGATGAGCTTCTTCCTTGCGTATAGTTTCCCGCATTGATGTCTCCTCCTGATCAGCACAAAATGGTTTTTCGTTCGTAGATTTTGATCAGCACCATGGATCTTACCTCGTTTCCACCTTCTGTCCATGCTCTTGCCAGGCGACGCTCGTTCTCAGAGACAGGAGATTCATCCAGGTACGTAAGCTGCGAACTTAAAATCGAAATCTCGCTCTCTAGTGTGAAGGAAAAGTATACCGTGGGCATTTGGACGAGGCAAAGCTTCCGGTAATATGGTATCGTTGATACAATCGGATTTCCAGACATTTTCAAGAGGGTGAGACGAAGCGATTGAATTATCTGAAACCGAGTGATTAGAAAAGACAAGCTTGTATTTTCTTTCACCTGGAGAGACTCTTCGTTGTCAAGTTTGTTCCTGGAGATGTCGAGTGACTGCAAGCTCTTGCATTTCTAGCGAAAGAAAGGACGAGCGAGATTATGTTTTCGAGTGGTTTGTGTGGTCTTTACTGTGAGATGCGCGACGTCCTCCTCCAGGCAAAGCATGTTTCCGGAAAGATTAAGTTGACGCAAGCACTGGCAGCAAGAGAGTCCTTTCAAGCACTTGATCTGCAAAGCAGTGATTAAACTCACAAAGCAAACGAAGAAAAAGAATCCTTGTGTGCCTGATTATCTGCCAGATCGAGTGCTTCCAAGCGGGGGAGTTTATCAAGTCCTTCCACATCTTCGAGCAAGTTCTACAAAAAAAAAAATTCTCTAGCGTTCTATCGCGAGGTGGTTTCTTACTAGAACTGCGAAAATTAAAAGGCTCTACCTGGTTTAAATAGAGGCAGCGAAGATTCATGAGGCAATCCAGACCTTTGATCTTCAGTATTGCTGCAAAGAAATCCTCTCAGAATAAAAGAGAAGAAAGAAGGAAGATAGATACCATTCGACTCGAGGTGGAGAGTTTTTAATCCAGTGTACTCTTCGAGGCCTTTAATCTCGACTATGCCCTGGAACAAAGACGTGAAAGCTGTACAAGCAGTGGAAAATGCCTCATTACCCTGTGATGGAGATGAAGAACCTCGTTAAGCTCTGGAAGACTCGCAAACCTAGATTCCACACACAAAGAGGGAATCCATGAGAAGAATCCTTGCGATCGAAGATCTTACAGCCGCTTCTCCCGACACAGCTTCTTCAAGCCCACCGGGCTCATATCAAAGCCCATTTCTTGCTTTTCCCCCCTTTTGGCCCAGGAACCCTAAAATGTGATATTTGGGGAATATTCTTTCTCCGCCACGTCAAAATTATAGCGCGAAAGCCACGTCACTAGCCCCCGTAGGGTTAGGGCGAGCGAAGAGGAAGGGAGGAGCTGGCGCCGCGGGCGCGCCCACAGCCGAGGTGAGACCGCCGGGATCTACATGAAGAGGGTCCGTATGGACTCGGAGATGGAAGATTGCGAGGATTTCTCCGAGGAAATCAAGGGATTGGAGGCGGAGTCACCCAGGGCCAAGATCGCGGCGAGGCGATCCCTCGTCTTCTCCAGCTCCGGCTTCAATGCGGGCAAGGTGGAGAGCGCCGCGGCGGTGGCGTCCAGTCCCAAGGTGAATAGAATCACATATAGTGATCGCTTCATCCCCAGCAGGTCGAGCTCCAACCTCACAGGCTTTGCGCTGCTCGATAAGTCGCCCTCTTCCAACGTGAGTAATGTCTCTCACGGCAGCGAGACTAGAGAGGACAGCGCCGCTGCTTACTCGATGCTACTCCGGACGGAGCTCTTTGGCAGCGATCCCGGGGGGCCTATGGTGCCAAGCACGCCCGAGAAGCTCCTGGGGGGATCATCCAGGGACTCTGCGAGAACTCCGATGAGCCCGACCAGGAACTTGTTCAGATTTAAGAACGAGCACCGTGGCGGTGCTGGAGCTTGCGCGTCACCCGAGTCACCATTTTCTCTCTCGCCGGTTGGCCTGGATGTTGCTCTTGCTGGAACGGTCACTAGCCCGCGAAAGGCTCCGCGGAAGATCGCCAGGTCTCCTTACAAGGTGGGAGCTTTTTGGGGGAGTTCGCTTGGTTTGATGCTTGGATTTTTCCTCTTTCCAGGTGCTGGACGCGCCTGCTCTTCAAGACGACTTTTACTTAAACTTGGTGGATTGGTCGTCGCTCAATGTTTTAGCTGTGGGACTTGGACCGTGCGTCTATCTCTGGAGCGCATGCACTAGCAAGGTAAAGTTTCAGGCTTTCTCCCACTCCTATCTTGAAGCTTTGTTTTCTTTCTTGTACAGGTTACGAAGCTTTGTGACTTAAGTCCCAACGATGGTGTTTGCTCGGTTGGATGGACGCAACGCGGAACGTATCTAGCAGTAGGAACGAACCTCGGTGAAGTTCAGGTATGGCTTGAATGCTATCTTGTCTTTTTGAAGTTCTGTTTTCTTTCCAGATTTGGGACGCGACACGGTGCAAAAAGGTCAGGACGATGGGAGGTCACCGAACAAGAGTCGGAACCTTAGCTTGGAGTTCAAACGTCCTCTCGTCTGGCAGTCGTGATAGGAACATATTGCAACGAGATATACGAGCCCCGGAGGATTTTGTCAACAGGCTTGTCGGGCATAAGTCTGAGGTGTGACAGATCTTTCTTCTAAAACATGCTTGCTATGATTTCTCTCAATGGTTTCTGTGTTGCCCAGGTTTGCGGTCTCAAGTGGTCTTATGATGACCGTGAGCTTGCGTCTGGTGGTAATGATAATCAGGTTTGGATCCCATATGATTGTATTGTTTTACTCTCTGCTTGTTTTTCCAGCTTTTTGTTTGGAATCAACTATCTACTCAACCAGTTCTCAAGTTTAGCGAGCACACCGCTGCAGTAAAAGCCATTGCTTGGTCGCCGCATCAGCATGGCTTGCTTGCTTCTGGTGGCGGTACCGCGGATAGATGTATAAGATTTTGGAACACGGGGACGAGTACACATTTAAGCTGTGTTGACACTGGTAGTCAGGTATGATTTGTTATTTGTTATGTGTTTCCTCGTTTCTAGTGCTCTTCTTTTCACAGGTTTGCAACTTGGTATGGTCAAAGAATGTAAATGAACTTGTTAGCACCCACGGCTATTCGCAGAATCAGATTATAGTGTGGAGATACCCGGCCATGTCAAAAGTAAGTTGGTGTTCTTCTGTGACTTTTTAATGTGTTCTTTGCTCCAGCTTTCTACTCTCACGGGACACTCCTACAGAGTTCTATATCTTGCTATTTCTCCCGATGGCCAGGTACGCGGCTGCAGCGAATTTTTTCAAGCTGACAGTGTTTCTTCCTTCACCTTCGTAGACAATTGTCACCGGAGCGGGGGACGAGACATTACGGTTTTGGAATGTTTTTCCTTGTCCAAAGTCTCAGGTACATCAATTGATCGTGATTGAAACGGCTGATTGAGAGTTCTTGTTGCAGCAGAGCGCTGTTCGAAATACAGGAATTTGGTCCTTGGGACGAACTCACATACGGTAGCTGGTGTTTTTATTGCCAAAATTTTGGTAGTGTAAGTATTGTATGTATTTCTCCAAGAAAAAGCGGATATATACGTTTTATTTATCACACTATCTATAAAATGCTAGGATGGATCTGCTTCCAGGTATATTCCTAGATATATTTAGAAATTATTTGTATCTTCCAACGCTCCAAATACACTTTTTATATTGTAAATAACAAAGTATTTGGTAATGCTTTTCCTCTTTTTTAATAGAATTTATGGAACGCTCCAAATACTCTTTAAGTTGCCCAGTATCTTCCACACATAATGAGGTTGGATTCTAAATGCCTTTATTGTAAATATTGTATGACCATACAATGTCATAAACCACTAGATTGCCATCCACTTGCATTCTTAAAAAATAATTTATTCCTTTAGAAATTTTTTCAATCCTAAATCATGGTATTTCTTTTATAAAATACAAGATTACAATTTAATTGCATATGTAAAGAATAATTTTGATGGGTGGATATAAATGCTAAATTAGAAAAAACTGAAAATTCATTAGGGTTCTGATACATTTATATCTCTGTGAGGGCCAAGTGTACGGCTACAATGCCATATACTAATATTAGCGTAGTGGGATTTTGGTAGTCGTTGGATTGGTTTCAATCCGGACCACTCGCTCCTGTATATAAATTAGGGTTTTTGGGCTAATTGATATGCATATTTCTGTATTCCCTTTTCATATTCCATGCACTCACATTGGTGGAGTTAAAGGGCACCTTTGATTGTCCCTAGGGAGTGCTTGGATTTGGGATTTCGGTTTAGATCTAGCTTTTGCATTGTCTAGATTTAGCTTTTTCCATTTCCTTTCTTTTGTTCTTTCCTTTCAGGATTTTGGTTTAGATCTAGCTTTTTGCATTGTCTAGATCTACCATTTTTTTCCAGCTTTTTGTCATTTCTCTTCTTTTGCTCTTTCTTTTTCATTCATCTTCATGGCTGATCCGCAATCTCCTCCTTTGACTCTAGAGCATTAGTTGGTTCAATTGCTTAATGCTATACGCTTGCAATTGAACAACCAAACTCAGTTGATGGCGGCGTTCACGGCACATGGTATAACTCCTCCTGCTCTTGGTGCCAATTGTCAAGACCCCCAACAAGATCAAGACTGGAAAATGCTAAAGACAAAGAGAAAAAGCTAGTGAAAACAAAGAAGAGGCCTTAGACTGGTGTTGATTCAGATTGTGGAGAAATGGAACAAGGCTAACCTATATATACTATAGGTTGATGAAGCTCCACCACTCTTGGATCGAGGACGGCTTAAATACAGCTGAGGTCGAGGAGGCGCCACATCATCATCAGGAATGTGGCTCGAGACTCAGGAATCGGGAAGTGTCTCGAGACTCAGGAATCGGGAAGTGTCTCGAGAGTCAGGAATAGGGAAGTGTCTCGAGAGTCAGGAATGTGGTCTGCAGGTCAGGAATCCGGCGAGAGTCAGGAATGTGGCAAGAATTGGGGGATTCCTGACAGCACCCCCTCCTCAAGAACGAGTGGAACGAGGATGTGAACGAGAACGAAGAGGAGGATGAGATGAGCGGCGAGGGATGGGAGATGGAGAAAAAAAATGAGGACTGGGACGAGAAGGATAGCAGCGGTGGAAGTCCTGAACAAGGTCAGGAGAATGAATCAGGTTGTCCGCAGGTTCCCAAGTGCGTTCCTCCGGTCCATAACCCTTCCAGTCCACCAGATAGTAGAGTTTAGACCGTGAAATCTTGGAATCAAGGATGTCCTGAACCTCGTACTCAGACCCATCCTCGAGCTGCACTGGTGGAGGCAGAGGAATGACCCGATTTGGAATAGGACTGGGAATATAAGGCTCAAGGAGAGAGGAGTGAAAAACGGGGTGAATTTGATATGAGGAGGGAAGTGCAAGGCGATAAGTGACAGGATTAATGATGGCAGTGATAGGGAAAGGACCAAGGCGTTTGAAATCGAGTTTTGGACAGGGCCTGGTGGTGGAGATATGTCGCCTGAGGAGTCAGACTTTATCCCCGATATTGTAAGGGGGACAATCCTGACGATGGACATTGGCAAATGTTTTATGAGATTCTTGAGCACGATGGAGGTGGAAGGAGATGGAGTTGTGGATTTCTTGGAGGTTGGAGATAAATGCCTCAGAGCGGGGATTTGAACGAGAGGATTCAGATGGAGAAGGAAGTGAGAGATTGAATCGGGGATTTCGGCCAGAGTTTGCAAAGAAGGGGGAAACTCGAAGAGAGGAGTGAATAGAGTTGTTATAGGAGAACTCAACAAGGGGAAGGATATCGAACCAGTTATCCTGATGATAGTTGATGAAGCACCTCAAGAATTATTCCAACGTCTGAATCGTTCGCTCAGACTGCCCATCAGTTTGAGGATGATATGCCGAAGAGAGGTTGGCCTTCACTCCAAGCAGCTGCAAAAACCGTTGCCAGAAATGAGAGATGAACTGAGGCCCTCGATCCGAAACCACATCTGTAGGAATCCCATGAAGTCGGAAAATTTCCTTGAATACCAGTTTTGCCATGTCCTTGCCCGAAAACTCCTTGGTACATGGCAAGAAGTGCGCCATCTTTGTGAAGCGATCCACCATGACTAAAATGCTGTTGAAGCCTCAAGAACTCGGAAGATCACTCAAGAAATCCATGGAGATGGATTCCCAAGGATCTGAAGGGACCGGATGGGAACGAAGCAAACCTGAAGGAAGGTGGCGAGGTACTTTATTCCGGGCACAAGTGTCACAGGAGGTAACAAAAGCTTTGATGTAGTCGTCCATGTGAGGCCACCAAAAGTCCCGTGCAACTAGCTCATAGGTTTTCGCAATGCCGAAGTGACCAGCAGTCGGGTTATCGTGGCACGCCATCAGGACCAACCTTCGAGCATCACCTTCAGAAACATAAAGCTGCTCCCCACGGTACAATAAGCCATCTAAGAACTCGAACTCGTCAAATCGCCGGCAGTCGGGAGTCACTGGGTGTCCAGCCTGAAGATGGGGGAAAATGTCGCTAGCGAGATCATCGGATTGAAGATCGTTTCTGATTGCATCCATCAAGGAGGAGTCCTGAGGGGCTAGGGAAATTGCCATAACTTGAAGCCGATCAGGACCGAGGATAACTTGATCCTGTTGATCGAAGGCAGGATTACCAGGCCTGAGACTGAGATAGGAGCGCCTTGAAAGAGCATCAGGAAGGCCTTGAAACTTTCCAGGTCTGTACTTGATAACAAAGTCAAACTGACTCAGGAATTGTGCCCACCTTGTTTGACGACAGCTTAAAACTCGGGAAGTGGCAAAGTACTCGAGATTTTTGTGATCCGTCCAGACTGTTGTTTGATGGCTCGCCCCCTCCAAGAAACGGCGCCACTCTCCAAAGGAATCCACGATGGCAAGGAGCTCCTTGTCGTGGATTTCGTAATTGATCTCCGCAGGCTGGAATTTCCGAGAATGGAAAGCGACCGGATGAAGTTCGTGATCCGCTCCGAGTTGAGACAGCACAGCACCAATGGCAAAGTCGGAGGCGTCAGCCTCGATGAAGAAAGGTTGTGAGGAATCAGCATGGATCAAGACAGGAGCAGAACTGAAGGCCGCCTTGAGTGTGTCGAAGGCCTGTTGGGCAGCAGCAGACCAAGAGAAGGGAACATCCTTGCGAGTGAGATGTGTGAGAGGAAGGACAATGTCAGAGTAGTGATCAATGAATTTGCGGTAGAAGTTGGCGAAGCCAAGGAAAACCTGAACGTCCGACATTGATTGTGGAGGCTCCCATTCGAGAATAGTCTTGACTTTAGCAGGATCCATCGTGATACCCTCAGGAGTGACAATGTACCCAAGGAACTCCACAGACTGCTGATCAAAGGAACATTTCTCAAACTTCGCGTATAGGCCGTGTTCTCGCAGCTTTGCTAGCACCTTGCGAACATGTTCGTCATGCTCCTCCTGAGTTTTTGAGTAGATGAGGATGTCATCGAGGTAGATGATCACCATCTGATCAAGAAACTCCCAAAAAACATCGTTTGCCATGTGTTGGAAAACCGCTGGAGCATTTGTCAAGCCAAATGGCATGACAGTGTACTCGAAGTGGCCATAGCGGGTTCGGAACGCAGTCTTCCATTCATCACCAGGCCGGATCCGGATCAGGTTGTATGCTCCACGGAGGTCGATCTTGGTGAAGAAGCGGGCACCGCCGAGGCGTTCCAACAGGTCCGAGATCAGGGGCAGCGGATAACGGTTCCGAACAGTCACCTTGTTCAAACCTCGGTAGTCGATGACTAGCCGCAAGCTCCCATCCTTCTTCTTGACAAAGAAGACAGGCACTCCAGCCGGGGACTGCGAATGCTGAATGTAGCCCGAGGCAAGGTTCTCATCCACGTACTTTTTGAGGGCCTTAAGCTCAGACGGGGATAACCCGTAGATAGGCCCCCACGGAGGTGACGCTCCTTCCTGTAAATCAATAGGACAATCATAAGGCCGATGAACAGGCAGTACACTAGCTTTTTTCTTGTCAAACACATCCCCAAAATCATGATACTTCTCAGGAAGACTGACAGGAGAAACATGCAAAGCAAAAAGAAAAAGAGGTTCTTCATAAAGGAGTTCTTTCATAGTGATTGTGGAGATAGGAGGAGGCATATGACTAAATGGAATGATGAGACGAGGATACTGTCCAGTGTAAGATGGAAGAGAGGAAAAAGAAGAGGATGAAAACTTTGTAGAGTCAGGAATAGAACCCCGACTTGAGTTTAGGGAACTTTTTCTGATTCGGACTCGATGAACACCAGGGGAAGCCGTGGGAGATGGTGATGTGGGAGAGATGAGCTGTAAGTCCTTCCAACAAATCTGAGGCTGATGTAGTTGGAACCAAGGAAGACCGAGCACCACAGAGGAGGACTTGCTGTTGATGATGTTGAAGGCGATATCAGTGATGGTGGACCCAATGTGTACTCGAACGGGCAACGTTTCCCTAAGTCCAGAAGATGGAGACACAAAATGCCCGCCGATGCCTTCAACCCTCAGATCCCGTATGGTAGGAGAAAGAGGAACGTGATGTCGGGCAACAAAGTCCGTGTCCATGAAGCAAGAAGTTGCACCCG